CCCGCCGGCGTGTGGCGGCCGCCGGGCCCCGCCGCGGGGGCAGCCTCTCTCGCCAGCCCCCTGGGTGCCCCGGGCGGCCGCCTCGGCGCGGGTGGAGGGGGGCGTTAGTGCTTTCTCGCCTTACAGGGCTTTGTTCGGCTCCGGCCGTTAAACGCGCTCCCATTAAAGGGTCTCGGGTTGTTCACGTCCGTGGGCCGCGGCGGCGGCTGGGGGCTTGTGCAAAGCCGGGTTTGTGGCCGCCGTGCCTGTGGGCAAGTCCCGGGTGTGGGGGGCTGCTGCCGGCCGGCTGGGGCGGGGGGCGGCCGGGGGAAGGAGCCGGTCTGGGCGCCCACCCCGGGGCTGCCGGTACCGCTGGGTGTCTGCGGGGAAGCCAGGCCTCGGCCGGGGCAGAGGAACCAGCAGCCGTATTTTTGTGTGGTGGCACATCTGTAAGACCCCCTCCTTCTAGCCATGGACGGGTAGGCAAGGGTTGCTGTGGCAATTGGGCTAAAACGGGTTTTCTTCTCCTTCCGCAAAGGACTGGGCTTTAGGCGCCAGCCCGGGAATTATTTACAGAACTAACATCGCTTTTAAACCAAAACGTTTGCAGACAGGAGCCAACGCTGGGAAAGGTTATTTGCTTTCATAGAAAGGCTGAGCTATGCAACTCCTAACAGCAGGTATCTAGTCTTATTTAGCGTGCTGGAGGAAGGAAGCAGATACATTCAGCCACGTGGGTTAGTCTTTTGTGTGTTGTTGGTTTTTTTTAAATTTATACATGTACTATACACACATGTTTGTGAGCAACAATAGCAGGGAGGGCTAAACCATTTCTGTAGCCAGAAACTATATTTTGGGTGTATCCAGTAATCGGATTTTGTCATTTGACAGGACCACCTGGATTAGGTAGAGGTTTGGGGTTTTTTAGGTTTGGTTTGGTTTTGTTGGGGGCTTTATTATTACTTTTACTAATCTATCTTGTGGAAGGAATTTATGTTCACGTTCTGCATTTCTCTGGTACTTCGTGTTTTTTCTGAGGACATCTCTGCTGCCTTGGTGCCCTCACCAAAGAGTGATAATATTAGTAACTCACCTGGGAGCAAGGTGCTGCTTTCCTCTTCCTTTGCTTTTTGGCACTGTATGCTTTTGTGAAGTTCCAAATACCCTTCATCTTGATGACTATCATTCCTTGATGAATAGAATTTGCTTGTGTGCATATCTTTTTTTCTTTTTTTAAAGTATTGTCTTTTTTAAAATTCAGGTGTTGGATTACCATGGGTGTAAAATCAGTGATCCCTACTGCTGGCTTGAAGATCCCGACAGTGAACAGACGAAGGTAACCTTTCTTTGTACGGGAATGGCTGATATGACATGGTCCCCATTTGTAGACTGGGTGCATGGATGCTCTGGTTTTGAAGTACTTGCCAATACTTTTTGAAAACTTGCATAGTGAATGTAGGTGTAGTTGACGTGATGTCTTGTGGTGCCAACAGCAATGCCACTATTTTGTATCTTTGTGTTAATGGGGGAAAGACTGGAAGACTTGGTATAACCTAGATGACAGAATTTGGAAAACTGAGGCGTTTATCTTGTACCCATTTTTCTTAGAGAATTCGAATGCTCAAGGTGGTGGTGTCACACTGAAGAGAATCACTCTGACTTTGGAGCATTTTATGCGCTCTCCTACGTACATCTAAAATTGACATAATAAAATAGTTAAGGAAGAGTAGAAAGAAAACTCCTCTGGCTTGCTTTCTTTATACAGTGAAAAAGTTAATGAACGTGACTTTTTGGAGGGGGACAATGATGACCCCTTTTTAAAAAAAGCACAAAACCTCTTTCCTCCTGATGTTAGGCTTTGTTAGTGGCTCTTATTACAGATTGCAGGTGTTGCAGTGTTTTCAGCCTGCTGTCTGGTGTAGCTAGACTGTTCTGCTGGAAATGGTCTTTCACTCAGAGAGAACCCTGATAAATAATAATGTGTGACTGTGAGCCAGTTCCTCTGGTATTTATGGCATAGGGAGATGCAGGGGTGATGTCCAGAAAGTGGTAGGTGGTAGTGTGGAGGGGGTTTCCTCTATAATGGCTAATAACTAATAACTTTGTGAGAACTGTAGTTCCAGATCTAAAACACTGGCATCTATCTAGTATGCTTGATTGTGTCAGAAAGATGATGGAGAGCAGGATTTCCATTTAAAAATGTCCTGCAGGGTGGCTTTCCATTAGTGAGATTCTTTCTAGGTTCTCTCATATGTGCTTACATCGTACATCTTGATGAGCTAGAGGATGGTGGAATAGAACTTAGTGTAATTGTCAAGAGCAAAATAAACTGTGTACAGTTAGGATCCCATTCCCTACTTACAAATCTATCAGCATATATAAAGGTACATGTGGATTTAAAAGGTTCATTTGGGGATCAGGTTTTAGTGAAAAACTCTGACATGGATGTTAACACTGAAAATCAGGTATTTAGCAAGTTGGAAGTATTTTGATTTTTTTGATTCTGTCATCCATAAGAAACAGTACACATAGGATAGTTTTGTGCCAAATTCAGAGGGATATATGAGTGGGGAGGTATGGTCATGTCTTTCTTTTATAGAGGCCTTACAAATACCTATTAAAGTGGTTTTAGGGGTCCTTAGGAAGAGTTGGGATTGAGAAGATGCCAACACCTGACTTATTGTGTCCCCGTGTTCAATGCTCTTGCCACATACTGTGAATAGGTTGTGTGAGAACAGTTGAAGGAGAGTGAATCTCACACTCCAGAGGTTGCAGGCAAAATAAGGAATAGGGGATCATAAAAGCCTCGTAAAAAATGCAGCAGCCGAGACAAAAGATGTCACATTAGTGGAATGAAAATACTGTTAAATCTTACTTGCCTACACTCTGAAAAACACACACCTTGGCAGAATTTTGCAGTACAGTAATAGTATGATGCAAAGAGTGGAAAGAGTTCCTATATGTGTAAGTATATGAATATATCATCTTTTCCAAAGTTCCAGGAGTTACTGAACAAAGGGAATCAAAGTATTTTGCTGTTCTACCTCTTTTGTAGAAGAGGTCAGAAAAAAGTAGTCTTGAAGTGCTAAACTTGTGCTTTATTACTTGCTTTTGTGTTCTGCAGCAAAGGTTGCTGATGACCACTCTTTCTTGCTAGCTTCTCTTATTATTTTTATCTCTAAGTTCTTGAGATAGTTAGCAGGACTCCTGCAGAATAGCCATTCTGCACCTACTAGATCGAAGAGTAACCAGAAGCTGGTATAGAGGCAATTGAGTGACTGTGCAGGGTTCAGAGAGAATTTGGAGTGTGCTTTGTAGATTTTTTTTAAGTCTTCAAGTCACTGGTCTTGACACTTGTGTCCTTCCCATTCTTCCTCCAGATCACTCTATCTTTATGCACCCCTTAATATCCCAAACCTCCATTTGTTTTGTGGAAAGTTAAAATATTCTGTGTACACCTCCAACATTAGGCTGCCTTTAATTTTCTACATACTAAGTACAGACCTAGAAGAATTCTTTGGACATCTGTGCTCATCTGTAGTGAAAGAGCCCCTCTTCAGTTCCTGTTTACAACATGCTTGCTTGATTTGAGTAGGTGTAACAGTGAAGATTCTGGTTTATGCCAGGAGTGAAGACTGAACATCATTCATTTATTAAGTTAGGAATCTTTTCTCACATGCAAACAGAATTACTTGCTCTGTGCTGTTGAATAGATACACAGATATGTTGGAATTTTACCTTTCTAGACTTAGCAGAAATAGTCATGTCAAGCATTGGTGTGGTCACAGAAAATAAATGGGTAGGCCTCACTGTTTCTATGTTTACATGAGTCAGTGAAACATCAAGTTTACTGTTTCTTGAAGCATGGAGAAAGTAGTACAGGCAAATGAGATTAGTTTTAACTCTGGAGTTTTCATGCTAGTTTCACCTGATGTCCACTGTAGAGTTAGCAGGACTGGGACTGAAAAAATTACCCACAACAGCTATGAGTGTAAAGAATTGTACTTGTTTTTCCTGTGGCTAGTCCAGGTGATCTTGTGGGCTCTGATATTTAGCAGCTTACAAACAAATGATTGTAGAAGGGTGGGATTTATTTTTTTTAAATTGACTTAATTGCATCTTTTCGCAGTGATAGAGTGCAGATGGTACTGTACCTGATCCACTGTAGTTTGCAAGTTTCTGTTGAGTCAGGTGGTTCTGTGGTTTCTCTCTGCCATTCCTCCCCTTCTTGCACTGACCTTGATGCTTCTGTCCCTCCCTTTGCGTGGGTGTAGTCATCACAAGGTGATGTTCTGGGAGAGAAGACTTTGGATTCACTTTCTATTGGTACATATGCTTAATCTAGGTCATCCCAAGGCCACATGATAGTTGGATCTAAATGGTTCAAGAATGGGATCTTTCCTTTTCTAGCAGCCCACAGCCTAGTTTTAATTAGGTGATAGTCAAATAGGTCTAGAAATTCTTTCAGCTGTGTGACCAAGATGATCTTATTCCATATGCAGTGTATGTATCTGCTGTAAAAAGGAGGTTATGGAAATCTGCAGGTAGCTAAGCAGGATTGTTTCCTGTCAGATTGGTTTAATCATCTCTAAGGCTGCCTATCATCAAGCCACACGCTCAGTCTCATGTGGGAAAAGCTGCTGTTCAAGAAGTATGTGCTTGCATGTTCAGGATCTATGTGCTTTACTATATCACTCTTTCCCCTGTGTGTTGCTTGGTCATGCACAGCTATAAGCAAACAAAGTCCCTTCTCCAGGTATGTAAATAATAGCTGAGCCCCTTGTCAGATGGGGAAGTTCCTACCTCACTGCGGAGAGAGAGAGTGCGGGAGCTGGGTCCGTGCTCTGCTACTGCTTGGCCATTGGCCTTTAAGACAGACTGAGGAAGCATCCCTGGCATAATTGCAATGTGCTGCACCAGTGAAACACCTCTGGTGATGACATAGCCCACAACTGCAAAACCATACTTTTACTGACATCTTGGGTTTGGCTTGGTTGGACTTCTCAACTTCTTGGTTTGTTTTTTCATTTTGTGAGAAATTATTTCTTGTTTTGACTGCAGCAAAGTCTTTTGCTACTAAGTATGTCAGTACCTTACCTCACTGATGGTGTAGTCAGTAATGTGGAACTGGGTTCAGACATGAGGGATGGACAAGGCATGAAAGAGCAGGGTTCATGTAGCATACACAGCTCAGTTGAGGTATTAGGAGTAGGTGTATGTTTGGATTAAGGCTAGAATTGAAACCCTCAAAACTGCAGTCAAATGGATTTGTAGTTGTAATAGACCAGTGTTTCACTTGCATGTTTTGATAAATTTCCAATTGCACTTTGAATCTTTCTTTGCTAAATACTAAGGTAAATGTCAAGAGACAAGCCACCAGAAGTCTGCTTCAATTTATTTTGTAATACTTAGACAAGGTATATACCCTTTCCTATGAGTTGCATTGAAATACCTGAGAATAGTGAGAACACATATATGAAGATTTAGAAGGTAACTATTAAACAAACTGTAAATACTTTACAAATTGATTCAACGTTACCAGTCTTCGTTATTAATTTCTATCCCAGGACTTCTTCAAAAGTATACTGTGAGTGGAAATCATTATCTTGAGAGAATAGCTTAGTGGCATGCAGAAAGCTGATATGTTGTAACAAAGCATGGTTAAAATATTTTGTAGCATGGGTGTTTTAGGTGGAATTTTAGTTAGACTTTTTTTTAAAACAGTAACTGGCCTGCTCAAGTAATGACCAAACACCTCAGCCTCAAGTAGAATATCTCTACTCTTAGTACAATGTTTCAGAAATTCTTTTGTTTTTCAAATTATCTTATTTTCTGAGATACCCACGAGCATACGCTTTACTTGGACCCATATTCTATCCATTCTTCTGCCAGCAAATTCTGTCCTGGTTCAAGTCTTACCATAGATTGTCACGTGCGGATTTCTACAGGTAAAATAAGATTTTTTTCTCTATAGGCTCATGAAGATCTACAGAGTTACTGTTAGCCCTGTAGCACTCTTTTCAGCTCAGAGTGGCGGATGGGGTTGTTTACTGTGAGAGTTTCTGCTGACATCTGTTCCTGTACTTTACCTAGAGCAATATTTCAATTATGTATTGCTTTTTGAAGATGAATGTAACCTTGTGCTCAGAAGTGTAAGAACAGAGAGTTTCCAAACTGAACTGGATTCTCCTCAGTGGAACTCTTCCAAAAACTTGTAATTTCTACCTGCGTTTTCAGATAGCAATGGCATTCCCTTTTACAAATAGTCTTGGAATCTTTGGGGCATACTAAGTGGAAATGGGGAAAAATTTATTAAGTTGCTGTAAAAACAGAATTACTAGTGATTCAGTTGTGAGTGCAGTAGTTAGTATGTAGGCATGCTCTTGTGCAACAGAAAAGTTTGTGTCTCCTTTTTGGATACCAGTAATGAAAGCAGATGTGGTAAGATGTGACTGTGCACTTAAAGGTGAGTAATGCACAGTTCCAGTTCCCTTGCAGCAGTGTTCCCATTTTGGTCATGTTATTGGTAGCTGAAACAAAGATGTGTGTCAGTTTCTGTCTGCTAAATGCAACTGAAAAGTGCTTTTGCCCATCCAGTACAATGGATGGTTTTATGCATCTTTTTATAAGACCTCTTTTTTCTGAAAATGTCACAGGGCTTTGAGTAGTTTGTTTGTGTAGCGTGCGCTGTCTAGATTTTTGTGTATGTGGTCTTTGAAATTCATGTATTTCCATTTAGAAAAAACAAATTCAGATGTACATAATTCTTGGGTAGATTTGATGAAGTTCCTTCATCATCTGACGGCTGCAGTGGTACAATGCGGAGGCCGTTTTGACTTACCACTGGGATGTTCTGAGCTGGGTGTTAAAGCTTTCTGTGCCAGTATGATCCTCAAAGGGGAAACAGAAGCAAAAATTGGCTTTCCCTTGGCAATGCATTCACCTCTCTCCTTTTTTTCAGGTGATCATTTCCTGACTAGGTATCCTTTCTGATACATAGAGTCTAATTTTGAATAAAGATCCAAAAGTCGTCATTGTTAGCCTTCTGTAGCTGTTCCTTTTCAGTGCTGTAGTGCTTGCTTTCTTGTGTCATCCTTGAGCAGTAACTTGCGTGTAACCAGCCCATGTGTTCTTAACGTAGTATGTTTCAGCCCTGAGCCAAGTGCTCTTAGGGCGTTACTAATTTTGCACTCACGTGTTTAAAGCTTATCAGTTTCTGGATGGTTTGTTAGGCAGGAACAAATATCCCTCAAGTGGAGACTGATCAAAATGTGCTTTCTCCTTTACTTTTTGGCCCAAGAAGTCTCTGAAAACATGGTTTGGCATGTAATGCAGCTCTTGGCTATGCACTGCTGTGGCAGTGATGCAAGTGGGAGGGAGAGTGTCTCTCTACTTGCCCCACGTGCTCACTTCTCACCATGTGAAATGTCTGTAAAGTGCTACTGAAAGAGTTTTATGTTCTATTCTTTCCTCTTTTTCACCCTAAGAATTAATAAATGAGTAAACATTGATAGCAGTTGGTAAATGTGTGCCAGGTGTTCTGTTTGTACTGCAGCTGGCTTTTCTGAAAGTTGTGAAATAATGGATTGTAGCCCTGCCTTTCCTGTGGCTCATGCCCTGCCGTGAAGTGGGGCTCAGATGTTATCACGCAACCTGCTTGCTGTGTGACAGATTCAGGACAGATAGAAACAATAGCCCCTTTCAAAGCAACTGGGAAAGAGACCTGTGTATGCAAGAGATGGGTGGGCAGGGTTTCAAGTTGGGGTCTGAGAGTGATGCTGCAGCTATCACTGCAACATCTGGCTGTGAGTTAGTCACATACACTGTGTCCTGTCCTTCCTGCTCCATGTTAGAGAAAGAAAAGCCTGCATGTCTGCTTCTTAGCAGCTGTGGTTCACCTTAAGATGCTTAGGTATTAATTTTATGTTAATATATCATGCTATAAATAGGGATGGTGAAACACCAACAGAGCACTGTATTTTCCATGCGTGTCATGGGAGTGGCAGCCACTGACAAACAGCTGGAGCGGGAATGGTTTTGGCCACTGTCCTTGAGTGTCTGTGACTGGGAGGTGGAGTGTTTTAAAGAAACCAGACTTCTCCAAGTTCTCTTCTCAGAGATTAGGTATTTTTGCCGTTTGTAATTAAGAACTGATCTGTGGACAGTTCTTTGGCCTTTCCAACAAATACTGTCTGGGACTAATCCTGTGTGTTATGTTAATAGGCTCAACAGATGGTGCACGTGATGTTTTGTATCATCTGCCAGCCCTTCACAGCGCCTGAAATCATAGTGCTGTCTGTGGGCAAAAGGGACTCTGTTCTTTATCCATTTCCTATTTTATTTATCATAGAGTATTGGGGTATCCTGTATTTATGGTGAACTAAAGGAAGGTGGTAATTCCTAGGTATGTACTATAAGTTAGTTTTTCCATGCCATTTAGGCAAATATAAGAAGAGTTTTTAAACGCATGAGGTTTAGGTTTGGTGGGGTTTTTTTGTGTTTTTTTTTTTTTTTAAAGGAGAATGGCAGGAATCTTGTTTGTCTTTGGCCAAACCACTGGTTATCCCAATGCCCTGGAGAGACTTTATTCAAGATACATCAGTCTTATTACAGAATTGTGGCATAATGCAAATAAGTATGTGAGACTCTTCAGGTGTGACACTACACAACCTATAAGGGGGGAAACATGTCTGATGCATTGCTTCAGAAGATAGTGTGTTCTGTAGGAAATGCACATTCCTGCTTGAGTTCATGACTTTTTTGGGGGGGTATTTTTTTCTTTCAGGCGTTTGTGGAGGCTCAGAACAAGCTTACAGTACCCTTTCTCGAGCAGTGTCCTGTCAGAGGGCTGTTCAAAGAACGAATGACTGAACTCTACGATTATCCTAAGTACAGTTGCCACTTCAAGAAAGGAAAAAGGTATGTGTGGAATGTCTTTGTAGGTGGTGATGAATGTGAAGCAAGTAAAAAGCAACTACTAGTTAGGAAAACAAATTATACATTATATTTGTATTTATTCCTTTATAGTTGGGAAGTAGGAAAAGTCGGCTGATGTTAGTGTATACGGTTACATGATGCAGAGCACAAGATGCTTGACTGTCTTCAGCTCCCAGTCACATTATCTTCTTGGTTTTTTGTTTTCTTTTTATAGGAAGAATTGTGATTTTATCAAAACTCAAACAACTTTTGTAGAATAACTGTTGTAAAAGTAAAACTTTGAGTTCCTTTCAGGGTTGGTCACTGTCTATATAGCTAAAGGCACCTCATCCTGAAAATAGCACAAGTCTGTCATGTATATGTTGTTCTAAATATTTACTAAAATACTGCTGTTATGCTGGTCATACTTTGAGCAGCTGGTAGAATTTTTGTTTAGTTATAGCCAGTGAAAAGCAGTGGGAATTCACGTGTGAAAAACAGCTCCTGTGTCTGCAGGGGATGGGGGAAAAAAATCATTTGGTGGACTTAGGGCAACTGATGCAAAAAAAAAATTGTCTTCTAAGAAATAAAGAAATTCTGATGTATACCAATGGCTAGACTGTTTTAATTTTGTGGCTAGGTAAAGAGATGGTGCTCTTGCAGTTTACCCAGTGTCTGGAGACTGCAGGTGCTATCTGATTTTATGTGACCTCTTTCAGAAACTGTAGCAATCTCCTAGAGAGAGGGTGTAAAGGGATGAAACTGCTGGTTAACTTAGTAACATCTAAAGATTGTTTGAGAAGTTGAAAAAGACGTAGTGCAACCAACCACCCATTAATCATGGGAAACACAAATTGCCTTTTTCAGTATTTTCAATTTGTTTGATCCTTATGGAGTGTGCACCTAGATATGCCAGGTGTGTTTTTCACTGTCATCCACAGGAAAGAACAGAAGATTTCTGGCCTAACATATTTAGGGGCTTTAGCTATCTGTCCTGTTCTGTGAGGAGGGTGTGCATACTTGTTACTAAGGCAGGGAAAGTCTGTACTATGTGGCTTTTGGCAAAAGTGTGTTGTGGGGACTGAACCCCAAGCTGATGTTGATTTAAATTGTCACTGATGCACAGCACATCAATGTATAGAGGTGGGAGGTTTAAGCCCAGAAGCAGTGGAACTGTGTAGGATGGTGCTGCATTTGGGGAAGTAAGTGTTGAGTGATTCAGGCAAAGCTTACTCGTTTGTATGTGATGTCCATGCATATGTAGCTGTGCTGAATCTGATTCTGGAGCAGGCCTGGTCAGCGACTGCTCTGGATTCTCTCACCCATTCTCCTTGTGCAAACTTGCCTGTGTGTGGTTATCTTCAATGCTGATAAGGATTGATGTTGCAGAAGTGCTCGTGGCACTATAGTCTCCACTAGAGATAAAAAGTCTTCATTTGATGCAGCTGACTGTCCTCCAGAAAGAACATTTATGCCAGGAGTTTAGTGTGCTTTAACTTGTGACACTTTGATTTTAATAGATATCTTTTTAGCTTTTCTGAGTGTTACTCTATTTCTTGGCATGTGCTGAACTTAAATCACAGTGGTTTAAAAATCATACCAGAAAGACATAATGGTGTTTGAGGAGATCAAGAGGGCTCTACCAACTGAAGTAACACTTAGTAAGGGGTGGAGGGAGGAACTGTTCTGTCTAAACTTCCCATGACACTTAGAAATTCTTCAGTTTAATTACTCCAGTTTTCTGCCAAAGAACAGCTGATAAAGGACAGTGTCTGAAGAGCTGTTCTGTAGAATCTGCAGAAAGGAAGAGTGCCCAGGGAGGTGCTGCATCTGTCACATTGTTTGACCTTTGCTTCCCAGCTTATTGCCCAGCATTGCAGAGGTGAAATTGGCTAGAAAATGCATGGCCAAATGGAAAATTACATAACTACTACTTCTCTTCCTTTGAATCTTTTGATTTTGTCGCTTGCTGAACATCACTGTTAGTATTTGAACATAAGGCTAGTCAGTTTGTTAGCTAGGCCTCTGTGAGTATAGTTCCCCATTCTGGGTTTACCAGGTTCTCATGCTCGTATCCAATACTGGGCAGTCCTAGGGAATATGTGAACTTGTGTTTAGGTTTGAACATTACCTCATAATTTCCCCTCTTTCTCCAGGTGAAGCTGCTATTTGATTTGTTAAGTCACGGGTTTGTGTAGTAAAACTGAAGTCCTGTGAAGGATTATGAATTGTGTAGAGCATAGTTCCTAATTTATTTGAACTCTGTAGTGTCTTATGATGTTAAGAGTATCCCTTGCTAATAAGAATTCTGTAATTCTGTGTTCCTATAATGTTTTCAAAACACAGTTTTAGGAACATTGGGAAATACAGATGAAACCATTTCAGTTCTGTTTCATTTGAACATCGGCTTTATGAATTAAGAAGTTTTGGCACAGGTTCCCATCCTTTATGCTCTATACTTGTAACAGAGAAATGCTAAGGCTGCCAGAGCTGTTTACCATTGACAGTTATGTAGAGTTTGTAGTATACTTCGCTTTGTTTGAAATGCACTGTGGCAAATGCAGCTTTTATGTTTAAAAGATGTTTTGGATGCATTCTACAGTGTCTTCTATAAAATCTATATGATATTGGGATGAGATTCCTCGCATTTTTAGAGGCCTAGAAATTGATATCTGGGCTTCCTTTGAACTAAGGGGGATAGAAAGACACCTACAGAGGATGGTTAAATCCCCAATGGCCACAGAGGAAGCCGTGATTCCTGCTCTAATGTGAAGCTTGTGTTTCCTTTATGTATTTATCTGTCTTTTATGTATAACAATCCCATACAAGTTCTTCTTGCTTGTCTAACTGAAAATCTGAGTTCTTCCTACTTATTTTTCCCTCTTGCGTTCTTTTAGGTATTTTCACTTCTACAATACAGGACTGCAGAACCAGCGAGTTTTATATGTACAGGATTCCTTGGATGCCGATGCCAAAGTTTTTCTTGATCCAAATAAGCTTTCTGATGATGGCACTGTGGCTTTACGAGGTTAGTGAGACAGCAGTTCCTGCTGAATAAGTCTGGGTCTTCAGCAGAAGCTAGAAGTGGTTTCCAACTCTTCACCTGTAAAAGTGTGGCTACAGTGTCTTGTTTTAATCCAAGTAGTCACAGTAGCCATATGTGGATTTGTATAGTGTTTCAGAAGAACACGTCTAAATCTACATTGTATTCACGATCAACTTGGTTCAGTTTCTCAGTGTCTTTTTTCACAACTCTGTAACAGCTTTCCAGTGAAATACGAGCAGATCTTGAGGCTAGCTATAGCAAAGATACATACAAATTCTCTCAAAATTGTATTTTGCATCTTTAACACAAGCCAGCAAGTTAGATACAGTGAGGAAGGTAGTGTTGACTTTTATGAGAATTACAAAGTTAACTTGTGTTCACTAAGGCTTTAACATTTGTTAACATCCATTTTCCCTCTATCAGCTTATTGTAGAGGCAAGATTCTTGGACCTGAAAGTGCTTTAAGGCCAGTTAATAAAAGCAGAGGACAGAATTAGTGAATGCTTCTTTAAGTGTGACCTAGCTGAAAAGAATCAATATGGCTTTTTTGAGTGAGAAGTCCTGCCTTAAACTGTGTATAAAAGCAATTTGGTTCATATAATCTCTCTGCATATCTAAAAAGCTTGACAAAGTCTCTTTCCAAATGCATTTAGGAAAACAACAGCCATGGAACAAGAGGGAAAACACCTGATGTTGATAAATAGTTGCTAGGAAGTGCACTGTTCAGTATGTTCAGTGTATTAGAAGGAGTGAGCAGTGAGGTAGCAGAGCTTGGTGATGATACAAAGTCATTCCAGGTAAAGGCTGAAGGATGACTGAAGAGCTGCAGAAAGACCTTAGCGATAGTGTGTGGGCAGTAAATTAACAGGTGAAAGTCTCTGTGCAGATAATTTAAGTGATGCAGAGGGGACAAACACTCCTAACCTCATTTGTGGAGGAACAGATGGAATGGTCTCTGAGCTGACCATGACCACTTGGGAACAATTTTTAGGCTGTAATAGATAGTTCCATGAAAATGTCAGCCTGGTTTGTGGTAGCAGCCAAGCAAACACATCAAATATCTGAAATGATTAAGGAGAAAATAGAGAACCGAACAAAAAACACCATTACATTAGCAACCATGGAGTTTGTACAATAGCAGTGAATACTAAATATAGTTCCAGTCCCCTCAGCTGAAGAGGGTCTCTGAAATACAGTTCAGAGGAGGGCAGTGGCAACAATGAAGGGTATGAAGCAGAGGTCAGAAACAATTGAGTGTGCCCGGGCCAATCAGCTTGCAAAAGGGACAATTTAGCAGAGACATAATAGAGGTCTACAGAATCATTTGTGGCTTGCAGTAGCATGGAGACAGTGAGTAGGGGCTGGTTAGTCATCATTTTTTTCTATTACAAGATTGGGGGGTTATCAAATGAAGGTAATGGGAGCCGAGCCCAAAGCAAACAGAAGAAGGTGATGGTTCATGCCTCAAGAAGTAGGTCTGTAGAACCTCTTACCAATGGATGTTGGTGGTGCAAAAAACACTTACTGTTTAAAGGCAAGCTGGACAAGATCGAGGAGGAGGGAAGCATTGAAGATTATTAATGAACTACTTCATGGAAAAGAAGTCTCCTAGGCTAAAAATGGTCAGAGGTTGTAGGGAATAATTGAGGGAACTGAGGAAATAAGGACTATTGTTCTTATTCTTGTAGGCATCTTGTTACAGTTATTTCTGAGGACAGATAGGTATAATCTTGTTCTGAATCAGAATGGCAACTCATGTTCTTATCAGGGAGAGCATTTTAGGGTGGCAGAATGGTGCATTTCAAACCTGCTATTTCTATGAAATGCAACTTTTTTGTATGATTTTTTTTCTTTTCTGTACTTACTTTCAGGCCTATGATAATCCAGTTTATTCCTTGAATTGATTTGCAAGAGTGAAACTGATCCTTATCAACTGTGATGGAAGCTCTTCTGAATTTTTTTCAGAACCATGTTTCCTCACAGTTTGGATTAAATGACATAAATACCCGAGGTCTTAGCTGAGAATACTAGTGACTAATCCATTTGTGTGTTAGTGGCAAATTTGTCTAGTTACTTCAGTTTTCATGGCTTTGCAGGGTCTAGTTTCAGTGATTCCAATATTGAAGTGGTACTTTCTTTGTTTCAGTGGTACTTTCTTTGTTTCAGGATGCACTACTTGCCTGTCAATTTCTGTTGACTTTTTTGGTACTATTTATCTCTTAAAATCTCACTTTTAAGTTCTCTACCTGTGTGCATTCTCAGTCTCCACCTCTTCCCCCCAAACGCAGGGAAGTAGAAGAATTATTACTGAAATCATAATTCAGATGCTGGGCATAAGCAATGTTACTGAACACACTTCCTGAGTATACATGCCTAAACTCACATCTGTGAACTACTTGAGAAGTCCACAGAGACTGGAAAAGTGCTGTGAATCTCAAATGAAAGCACACGTAGTTGCTTGCACTGTCTTTTAGAAAATAAACCTTCTTCTCTCAGTGTTCGGTGAATACAGTTCTTCTATCTGCTTTCCCAATTTTACCTCTGTTTTGTTGGGATTTGGCTACTGTGTAGTAGATAATAAAAAGCTGCGTGGCAAAATAACACTTTTTTGGAAAATACTGTTTCCTTATGCTGGTTCTTACTTCATCTTGTTTGGTTCCAATTTCCTAGGTTATGCATTCAGTGAAGATGGTGAATACTTTGCATATGGCCTGAGTTCTAGTGGCTCTGATTGGGTCACTATCAAGTTTATGAAAGTAGAAGGTCCTGAGGATCTTCCAGATACGCTGGAGAGAGTTAAATTCAGTTGCATGGCATGGACCCATGATGGAAAAGGCATGTTCTATAATTGCTATCCAAAACAAGATGGGAAAAGTGATGGTAAGTATGACTGTACTAATTGTGTGCTATGTGGAAGTGAAATGAGCTTTTAAGCAAATTGATGCAACAAATAATTAGCTCTACTAGTTTATACTGAAATAGCTAGCTATTCTAGTTTATACAATTAGATATCAGATTATGTCTTGTATGACCAAAGCCTATACTCGGTGTGAGTATCCTCTTGTCTGCCTGTCCTTGTCTTTCCCTTAAAAGTTTGCTGCTCCTTTTCTTTTTTCTCTGCAATGATTTACTCAGCTTTCATAAGAGGTGTTATTGGCTGAAATTTGATGTCTGGTGACAGCTTACTTAGATCTTTTCCTGTTTTGCATTTGTGTGGGCAGAGGTGAACTGGCTTGGGAGGTTGACCTGATGAATAGCAATCTGGGACATATGGTTTTTGTTATTCCACCAGATTAATTCATCTGTGGTTCACAGCACAGCAACACAAAATGTTTATGCTAGCAAAACACAAGGAGCAGGGATTGTTGTTTTTCTTTGCTTGATTAGTATTTCTAGAAAGCAAAGCTTGGAATAAGAAGTTTTCACATTTGAAGAATGTATTATCGGTAATAAAAGGAAAGGGTAACATGTTTGAACAGGTTTGCAGTGTGGTTTGAAATTTTATTTTGTTTTGGCGGGGGGGGGGGGGGGGGGTTTGGAGGGACATGGCTGTATACTCAGACCATCCTAATTTGCTCTGCTGAATTACTCTTCTCTTTTATATGCAAAGGGCTATAGAATTTTCTACGGGTTTTATTTGGTTATTGTTGGCTTTCTTTGAGAACTAATTACTTTTAATATCTGCATATCACTAGGTACTGAGACCTCCACTAATCTGCACCAAAAGCTGCATTATCATGTGTTAGGAACTGACCAGTCAGAAGATATCCTGTGTGCTGAATTTCCCGATGAACCAAAATGGATGGGTGGAGCTGAGGTAGGGTAAATGCCCTGAAGCTTGTCATCATTATGTTCAATTTTTCAGATTCTAACAGCTAATAGTAGGTATATTGTTAAAAGAATGCTTTTTATTAGTGTTGCGGAGTTGACCATTGAACTAGGAGTCATTGATTAAGAATTGCTGAAAATCAGGCTGTTTAGTTTGCTTTAAATCAATCCTTAAGACTGTAATGACACAATCACATATTGTTTTTCTTCACTGCGGACGTGTTGCCTGATACACATTCCAGGACAGAGAAGGATCATTTGATAGACAATGTGTCATTGTTCTTGTTTCTTCTTAGTCAGTGTTAAGCCCCAGCCTTCACTTCTGTACAAAAAGCTTATTCCAGTAATCAGCATGTCTGGATATTCCCTGCCATGTATATATTTTGTTCTTTTGTGTGTGTGTGATTTCTTTCTCAAACATAAAATACATCTATTCTACTTACATGAGGAGTGGAGACATGCAGGCTAAAATCTGTTAATAGTGCTGTGTGCACAGTTGGAGACTCCTAAGTTTCCCTACAACAAGGTTTATTATAACAAGTATGGTGTGGGCTGTGGTATTGGAGACGGAACAAGTGACTGCCAGAATTGCTTTCTTAAGCTTATTTCGTTGAACAACTACTACTATATTGTGCAAAGTCCCAGTGAACCGAAATGATAGGTAACCGTGGTCTGGTCTTCCTTACATGAATGGTTCAAAAGACCCTAAGTTTTGTAATTAATGTGTGTTTTATTCTTCATATTAGATTTAACAATGCTTGATTGAGTGCACTGTTCTAAGTGCTGTTGGATTCTAGTGGTGGTTGTTCTGTTTATCAGGGAACTGGTGTTTTTCTAGTGGATAAAAACCTGTTGTAATTCCTTTTACTCTCCTATCTGCTATGTTTAGTCAGTACCTCTTGTTTCTATACGGAGTCTCTTTTTTTTTTTTTTTTTTTTTGTT